CATACACGGTATAGTCTGTAATGAAATAAAAGAGTTAAAAAGTCACGTGCAAGCTTCTGCCAGAAATACCACCATGTCAAGGCAGTCTCAGGGGCCTCTCATATGTGGTAAAGAAGGTTTCACCACAAAGGTGAAGTAAACTTCTGAAGAGGAACAAATTACCTGAAACATGGCTATAAACACCTGATGAGTTTTTCTTTAAAATGTACAAAAAAAGTTGTAGTCTTTTGCTTAGGTATACTGACATTATTTTGGCTTCAACAATAGTTTACCTGTTCTGTCTGCATTTCAGAAGTATTAGCATTACATGTTTTTATCTAGAAAGGATGTTTTATAAACATGCCTAAATGATTCAAAGAACAAACAGAAAATACCCGTGCAAAACTCTGGAAGAGAAGATAAAGCAATAATTCACACACTGTACCACATGATTTTAGCCACAGTTACAGAGCACTGACAGAAGCAATCTAACTAAATAAAAACCTGACCTGACACCACATATTGCTTACAGGGTGCTAATATCATGTGTTTAGAGCAGTGCTAGTCAGGGTACAGTCTGACTCTACTACACAGAGTTCACTATTGTCTCCAGTTCCTAAAGAAAATTTCCTCCGAGTGTTTCTAAGAAACAAGTGATAAAACTGCACCATTATTAGTCATCCTAGGTTCATCAGCCATTCCAAGCATAAAAGATTAACTTGTAGCAAAAAGCAAAACCAACAAAAAACCCTGAATTTCTGAGCTATTGCAAAAATTATCTCCTTTATCCTGCACATTGCAAAGATCAAATTCTCTTTTCCTGTCTCTTGGAGTACTATCTTAGTAATGACAGTGGCAATTTCATTCATAGTTCCAGTGCCCCTTAGTTTCAGAGTGTAGGTTTCATGTTTTGTGATTTTGTTGTTGTTGTTGTATAGTGTTTTGTTCACTGGTTTACCAAGATTACTGTATTAAAGGACTGTTCATACATATGGGAATTAGGTATCTATGTGTGATTAAGAATTTGCCTAGGGTCTAATTGCACTTCTGTTAAATAAATGATAATATTCATAGGACTTAATGGAGCTGCAGTTAGGCCCAGTGTGCCAGCCAGTGTACTGTGCAACAGGGACAATCTTACCAGAGTGTTATGAGAACAACAAAATACATCAGAGACTGTATGATAACTGGATTAAAACACATAAACACTGTTTATTAAAATAAGATTATTAAATACGCATCCACAATTTGAATTTCATCAGCTGTAGGACTTAAGGAGCAGAATCTGTTTATAGAAATCAGAGACTGTTACTGTTTTTCACAGTGTTTGTTATAGACCAGACCTCCAGTAGAGGAACTGAATAGAACAAAATGAAGGAAACAGAAGTTTTGATGTGCTTAAAAACATTCCAGATGTATTGCCATTTCACATATATATATGTAAGTTTAGTCAAAGATGAAGAATAATTTATATAATTTCAAGAAAAAGAACTACCATGATGATTACAAGTTGCTATTACTGCTCTTGAATTATAAATTGCACTTCCTAAGGAAGTTTAGAGTAACAAAGAAAGAGTCCTTCTATCTGTTCTTCCATGGATTTGGTAGCCAAACAATCATTTATCAAGTATGGGGAACCTGACATCTCTAATGTGGATCAGAATAATGCAAGATCAGAAGAGTGTCTTGTTGTGGAATGTAAGGAATAAAACACAAATAATGTGTTTTATGGGCAGAACTGGGAGCACAGACAGCCAGTCGGAAACTGCTAAGGGACAGAAAGATTGATTCAGATATCAGTAACAAAGAATAAATGTGTATAAGAGTTTGAAAGAATTTTGTAAACAAATACACTTTTGCAAGCATGCTTGAATGTAGAGTGTCTGTTTCCGTAGTTAATGAACAATCTAGTTTGTGCATGCTTGAGTGACCAACAGTTGCATAACAGCAAACTCTATATGACAACCATGCATAACTTCAGCAACACACAAACATTTTCTTGCTGCCTGAACTAATGAGCCATTTAGTTGGATAAATCAGGTTATTCAATAGATGTTTCAAGCAGCTAATAGGCCCGATCCTGCTGCTGATCCGTATTCAAACTGGTACTCAAGGAGAATTAAATTCTGTATCCACTGAGTGAATAATAAACTGAAGAATGAGATTTCACGCGTGAAGTCACTGCAGGATAAAGATACTATGTAGTTTAAAAAAAATCATCACAGGGCAAAGTATTTGCTGTTTGTTATTTTAGAGGAGATATTTGACTGAATGATCTGAAAATAGATCTTGAAACAACTACAAACTTGATACTTCTAATACTGACTTCTCTTGATTTTTTTTTTCTTTTTTTCCCTATGTCCTTGGGCTTCAGTGTTTCTATCGGGAAAAGCAGAAACAGAGGATACGTGTTTTTTGCTAAGAGTACATTTCAGAAAAGCATTTTAGTAAAGTTAGATATAATCCACATAAACTTTAAAATAAGCAAGATAGTTCTATGAAAATATGAAAATCTAAAATAAAAGCAATGAAGCAAAAATGTAAGTTCTTCTAGGAAGATAGATGTTTTAGTTGAAAGCAAAGTCAGAGAAGTTGCTAACAGAAAATATATTAAAAGCTGCTAAACATGGGATCTCTGACTGATCTTTGTGTCTATCTGAACTGTTACTACTAAAAATGCCTATGAATTCTTTTCAGTAGATCATATCATGAGTTATTTCACAAAAAAAAAAAAAAGTTTATAGAATACAAATGATTTAAAAAATAAATTTTGTCTGGTCAGTGTGCATTCCTGAATGCTTTTTGGCAGTTCTAATTGATGAGACCTCGTTTTATAAAATACAGGAAAATTTGCAATCAGCCCACAGGATGTGCAGTTTAATTATGTTGGTGTGCATTTCTATTTGTTTCTAATGTAGAGGATCTATTGGTAAAATGAATGCCCATTTTGTGGTCTGTTATGCAGAAAATGTTTAATCCACTGTTTGATTTACTCTGTTAAATCTTCTTTATTGAATGTGCTTATTCATCCATGCAGAATTGGGTATGCTGCTTTCTGTTACTATGACATTGCAATTAAATAGCTAAAGAGAAAAACATGGCAAGACATTTTCTCAAGGTCTGTGAAATTCTCATAAAAATTACTCATACTTAATGTATTTTATGTTTGCTGATACTAAAAATGTAAGGTACAGGAAAATTTTTTTGTTTGTTTTGTGGACTGTCAGACCCAGACTTTGCAGTTAAAGATCCCAAATAATCAATTTTGTCAAATAAATAGAACTAAGAAAAATTTCTGGTCCAGTGGATAATGACTGTCATCATGAAATAGGATTGCACTGATTGCATCTTATGAATGAAGCTAACAGGAACTCAGAGAACCAAACAACAGCATTTTGTGCTGGAATAAATACTGAAGCACTTGAGAAACAGTAAGACATTGATAGTGAAATAGCTCAGCTCTGTTACAGTCCTACAGTTATACTAAACAATAACAGAAAATTTGCACAATCAAATTATATTTCCATGAGTATTCTCTCTCAATAAGGAAAGAATGTGAAAAGGGAGTTTGCCTTATCTGAGCCAACCGATATAGCAATGTTTTGTTCCTCCGCTCCAGACGTTGAGGTCAGGATGATCCAACGCTGTGAGAATTCTGGAACTGAATGTTTTTGTTAGAGGTTAAAAGGTAGGCATGGCAGCCCCGATAGGAGGGACTGCAGGAGCTGCACAATGGAAAAGTTCTTATTTCTGTGAGACGGTTGGAAGCATAATATAAGGAACATACGATTTGATTTTACTACTTTTACGCCTGAATCTGTAACTACTACTTCTTTACATATTTATTTGCATTGTAATCAGGCATTGTAATCAAATCATTGTAATCAATGTTTAAATCTACATTTTTCATTCTTGTGTTGAAATTTACTGCTGGGCCATTTTCTGCACTGGCCTGTGTTGTAGCACGTCTGGCAGTACCACGGGGGCAAGGTGGGCTCTGGTTTCCATTAATCGCTTTATACCACTTCCACTGTTCTTTTTGCTGCGCGAACAAGGAGCTTGTAAGAAGGTGTTAACAGGCTGCTAGCTGCTTTATTGTTGCTATTGATTTAAGGTGTTACGACTTGTATATAATCATACACAACGAATAATCATAAGAGATTAGTTTAAAACGGCACACGTAATTAATTGGAAAATAAAAACTTAAATTTCCAGCATGCTGACACAGCGACTTTGTGCTGGGTTATTCTGATTGCACCGCTGTACGTACATTTGGGTACTTAGAGAACGACTTCTTGTTCTGAGTATGCGTTCACTCAGTCCGGCGGGACAGGAGGGGCTGCTCTGAAGCGGTGCTTTCTGTGTGTCACCAGATTTCCCTTTCATTTCTTTGTGAGGTGAAAGAACAGACAGCCGGATTGCAGTGTGACTGTGGGCTGCACGCCACCAGCGTTCGTGGTGGGCTCACAGAAAGGTTTCTGAATGCAACAGAGAAGAGGTACGGTCCAACATGTAGCGTTAGCGGCTGTCAGTTGACAAAGCACAGGGAATTAATGACCAGAAACAAGCTAATACACTTTATTTTGAAATGTCTTTGACATCGTGTTGAAAGGAAAGATATTAACGCAGCCGAGCAGTGCAGAGGCTGTAATATGGGGAATACATTCTTGGATATCAAATGACAAAAACCAAAGTGCTGGGTTACTGACTTTCCCGCACGCAGTGCAGCGCGGGGCTGCTTGCCTTGCAGTGCCTGTATTTGGTTTCCAGCGAGACGGCACTCGGTCATACCCTAATGTCGAAAGCTCGCAGACAGCTGCCGGGCGCTTCCATCCGTTTCGCATTGCTTCTACCATAGCTAGTACCGCCAAAAAGAACGAGCAGCGAGCCGTCACACCGCGAGCAGCGCGGCGCTCCGTCCGGCCGCGTGACGTCGGCAGGTCGCGCGGGAGAACTCCATCTACCGGCGGCCATCGCGTGCGGCGGCCGGAAGCTGTGTGGGCCGCGGCCTCCGCTTCCGGCAGCGCGGGTGACGTGACGGTGCCCCTCCCAAGATGGCGGACAACCTGCCCTCCGAGTTTGATGTGGTGGTGATAGGGACCGGTACGCGGCGGCGCGGGGCGCGGGCTGGCCTGCGGGTGCTGAGGCCGTAGAGGGCGCGGCCGTGGCAGCTGAGGGCGGGGGAGCGGCGGCAGTGTGCGGGGAGTGAGGCGGTGGGGCTGCCGGGGCACCTGTGTGGGCAGCGCCGTATCCGTCGCTGCGCCTGCGAGCTGCTCGGGGATTGCTGCTTAGGCTTCAGCGTCAGGAGATGTTGAAGATACAGGACATAGCTGTCCTCACTGGGAGGGCAGCGGGCCATCTCTGCGAGGTGCCGGCCCGTTAGGCACACCGCGGCCCCTGTGTTCTTGAGGTTGGTGCTCATCTGGTACTTCACTGTAGCCACTGGCACCCCGAAATGCCCCTGCTGGGCGAGCTGAAAGCTTCTTTCGGTGCGCCGAAAGTAGTTCTGAAGAGCCGACCTCGGTGTTGTGGTGGGATATGTGGTTTGTGCTGATAATCTCAGCTGCGTGCTGTGAGAATTGCGTTTTCTCTTGAAAAGTGTTTTCGTAATCCCTGTGCTTGCTTACAGATAACCCCAGACTTCCTCATTTAGGGTGCTTCTCATTAAGGCGTTCAATTCAGTGTAAAAGAAGACGTAGGACTGCATGTGCTTTAATTGACTCTGAGCTTTCTCAGGCTGCCTGTGCTTTGTGCATCCTGTCATCCACTTTCTGTTCCAGTGAGTGATGGACATCTCAAATGTCTCACAAAAACATACCACAATGTTGTAACTGCAACCAAAATTTAAAATATTTCTTAAATTGCAATTAGAAATTAAGATTTCCCTACTGTGTTCTTTGTTTGGTAGTTCAAGTGGAAGCCTTAGTGATGAACCTGATGTTTTCTTAAATGATCAGGTTTGTGACTGTTCTGAGTAAAAGAGAATAACAGTAAACAATGAATGGCTAAATTACCAAACTGAAAGGATGAAGTGTTAAGAACTGTACAACTCCTTGATTTATGAGGGTAATTAATCTTTATTACCATGAAAAATACTTCTGTATGCAATAGTATAGAAAATTAAAGGAAACACGGATTCGTAAAATTAATGTTCATGAATTTTCTATCTAATCTAGCTAAGGAAATGAAAAGGTGAAAATAGTAATGGTACATATTCTAGCTGCTACGGAAGCTAGTGAAGATCTTCAACACATATGACTAAAACATACATAGATAAGACTTCATCTTTTCGTTATTCCTATGGAGAAGAAAAACGTGCTGTCAAAATTTTCTTCTGGAGCTTCTATGATCTTTGTTAAAAATCTGATGTAATTCCGTTTGCTGTGGTAGCTCTTATGTTGAGGGGCCTCAGAGGACCATGTAGCAGGCACAGTAAACCTCAGGCTGCAGTTGTGTTCTGTCTTTCCTGTCCCTGTCATGGTTCATGCTTGCTGTATGATATGTGAGTTAAACCAAGGCTATCTGTGTGACAGCAGTTGGTGGTAGCAGGTCACAGATAGGAAAGCCGGTGCTCTCCCAGCCATGCTCTTAGGAGTGCTCACCTGAAGCAAAGCACTTCCAGCTGAGCAGTCTGTGGCAGAGAGGATTGGTCCTGGAGTGCACACCTACCATTACCTTCCCTACTTTGAGAACAGGTTTTAATAGTAAAGTTTTCATATTGGGAGAGAAAATGCCATGAGATGAATTCTGTCGTGGAAATATTGCTGTAGTTAGTGTTGGTATGGGTTTGTATGAGAAGGTATGTTTTTGAGATGTTTGCCTGCCTAAAGGGAGACCTCACTGTGGCCTTCCAATATTTGAAAGAAGCATATAAACAGGAGGGGCAATGGCTGTTTACAAGGGTAGATAGTGATGGGACAGGGGGGAATGGTTTTAAACTGAGACAGGGGAGGTTTAGGTTGGATATTAGGAGAAAGTTTTTCACACAGAGGGTGGTGACGCACTGGAACAGGTTTCCCAAGGAGGCTGTGGGTGCCCCATCCCTGCAGGCATTCAAGGCCAGGCTGGATGTGGCTCTGGGCAGCCTGGTCTGGTGGTCTGGTGACCCTGCACATAGCAGGGGGCTGAAACTGGATGATCTTTGTGGTCCTTTTCAACCCAGGCCATTCTGTGATTCTACAGAGAGTACTGTTGGGTCTAGTTTGAAGATTCTGGTTTCCAACCTTGTGATTCTATGATTCTAAGATTATAAGATGTTCAGAGCTCCTGCCTTTCCTGAATTATTGTCTTTGCTTTGCATTTCTTCTATTAAGGATATATGCAAAGGATGACTAATGGTGCCAATTGTCTATTTTTACACTGTATTAAATACTGGTACTAAACCAGCAGTGTGAAAGATTATTCAAAGCACGATTTTTATTTTCCAGGAAATTACTGCTGAAGGAATTTCTTAGTCTTTAACTCTTCTTCTGATGCCATAGCCAGTGCTGAGTGCATATGGATATCTGATTGTCATAATATCTGAAATGTTGGTGTTAATGTTTTTAACTGCTTAGTAGTAATTGCACTCTTTTCTGCATGCCTGGCCTTCCGCAGGTTTTAAAATTCCTGCATCTGTTAATTTCAGTAATTAGATTGAATGGGATTTGAATTTGTTTTTATTTCGGGCTCATTGAACTATTTCTCTGGAGTAAGCTTATTGGCAATGGAAACTCATGCTAAATTTTTGTCATCTGTGATATGTTTAATAGCTAGGTTCAATTCCTTTATCAGTATTTGTGCGGTAAAAGCAAATTCAGTTATTGATGAGACTACTTCTCTGTAACCCAAATAAAACATGTTCTTGCACAGGCAATTTTAGAACACTCTGGATACATAGTACAAAAACACACAAAGTCTTTGTGGGCTCAGTAGCAAAAGTTTAGTTACTGTCATTGAACTTCTATGCATTGTTCTTAAGAAATATAGATTAACAGAGAACTTAATAATATTTTGAGGTTTTCAGTGACAATACAGCACAGAAATTAAAGTTGTTATGGCTTTGTTCTTTTGTTCTATCTCCATTTCTTATTGTAGAATTGAAGTTCATTTCAAGTTTTATTTTAGCTTCTTCTCCCATCAAGACTGTCCCTATTTCCTTTCTTTTTGATTATATTATTATGTGGAGGTTATCCACTAACCAAGTAGGAATGGCTTCACTGGATGATTTTCTGATAAAGCAGTTGTTATACTCGCAGTAGTTCTGGTATTTTGGAAAATTATGTTTGCAGATTTTCATTTGTGTTAAATCCTGTAGCACGTCGTTTTGGATGGCTGATACTGTAAGTGCACGCTTGAAGACACTTCAGGGTGGGCAATAATCATGTTTGTTATTGCTGCCCTTTTAAGGGGTCAACTTCTAAATTAGTGCGGATGTTATAAATGTTTACAAGGAGAGAATGTTATGAGATCTTTAAATGTAATTTAAAAAATCTATTTGAGGGAGTGACCTGGGTTACAGAGTCAGTGGGAAGGATTTTATTTAGACAGTTAACAAATAGGAAAGCTTATAAGCAAAACATTCAGCACTGTTGAATTTATGGCATAAATCACTGTAAACATAAAGATTTGCAATATCTGCAAAATACAAACAGCCATAACTTAAATATTTAAGTGATGTGTTTAAGGATACAAGGTCTCCCTTACTGTGAATTTCTTTGATTGTTTGGATTATATTCAGTCCTGACTTGAACTAGTTCCTGATATTGCAGGAGTCTTGTCTTAACTTCTGGTGAGTTATAAAATAAAGGACAGTACTCTTTATAAGGTGGCTGTATTCACAAGTTTGCCAGTAATTCTAACTTTTTTTTTTTTTTTTCCTAAATAGGAGTTATTCTTTATAAAAGCAGTCACAGTAAATTTTCTAGTTCTATGCAATTTTCTTTCCATTCTGGTTTTCAGTGGCTATAAATAACACATGAAATGACTTTCAAGGTAGAAAGCAGGAATCCGTTTTGAAATATTCTATAAAATAAAGAGTGATTTATGGTTTCATATGATTTTGGCTGAAAGCACTCGGGCTTTGCCAGGTCATCAAAGTCCTGTCAGGAGAATCTATTATTTATTGTTCGATATGCGGGGAGTGGTGTAAGTACTTTATGTTTATCTTATGTAAGTATGGTGTTAGGAGAAATCACTTCCAGACACTAAAACAGTTTTTAGAATGCACAGTGAAAAACTAATCTTAATATTATAATGCGAGAGATGAAGTTAACATTGGAGATAGTTTGAAAAAATAGATTTTTGATAAGTGAGTGATTCCTAATGCTTTGTTATTGCAGGTGTAAATTTACCTTTATTTCCTTACTGCTGACTTTTTTAACTTAACTAAAATTGAGTGGGTTTTTTTTTCTGGCATGCTTTCACTTCTGACTGTTGTTTGTTGTGCAGTAGTGCTGGTATGACAGCCTTCTTGAAGGCTTGGTATCCCACTGATACCTCGCATGGGATTATTTTCCAGATACACTCACTGGTCTTATAAGAAAGCAAATTATTTTGTGAAGCCTTTGCTGTCCCCTGCCTGTTAGCGTTTCTCAGATTTTCCAGATTATTTGCTCATCATACAAAGGTCAACTTGCAATAGTCACATCAGTAAGATTTATTGAGATTAATCTGCTTCTTATGTATCCAAGAAGGTTATACCAGGCAGCTGGCAGTGAAAACTAGTCTGTGAACTGGGGACTTGATTCTTCATTATAAGCATGTGTATTTACCTAGTGTTTATTCTGTCATTTTTTTTTATTACTTTATTCTGGTGCTGCAACTGTTTCTGATACAGTCGTGGAATCTTGCAGCAGTTTTCAGTGCGTCTTGCAAATAGCTGAAGAACCAGAGAAATTTGTAGGACTAACCTCCATTTGTGTCTGCTGGAGTGAGCCGTGCCAAGGTGCTTGTTAGTGTAATTAGAGCAGACTTGTTATGATTTTATTTGCTTGCATTTTTGTCTCAGTATCATTCCAACTGCATGCAAGAATTTCAAGCACAGAACAGCGAGTATTTTGTCAGTCCTCTTCTTGAACTGATGCAAGTTTAGGAGTTGGTCCATGTTAATTTAGTTTGTATTTCAATGAGGCGGTGTCACTGATTCATGTGAATGTATCACTGTCTGGGTAAGTACTGAGATGTTCCTATTAGCACATATTAGTGATTCAGAGATCACTCGGGAATAAAATCCCTACCTTCATTCTTATTTTTATAATCTGTCTGCAGATGCAATGTGCTGCTTTGCTGAAATTTTAAGTGAGTGTTTCCTTGAGAAGCCTAGAGAGGCTACCTTACCTCATATTGCATCCGTTCCATGGAGGTTAGTAAGTGGAAAAAGAAGGCTGTATCATGAAGAAGTGATGATGCAGACACTAGGTTCTAATCAATCCTCCATTGTGAAGGAAAACTTTTTCTTTTTCCTGGTGAGAAAAATGAGGGACAGGCCTGTTTGTGAAAATATTTCAAGTGTAAGCATTTTATAATGCGAAGGGTCCAGGAAGCATAGAGTGCCTTTATGCATCTTGATTATAGGTGCTGCTATTTCTGTATTGACTAAGCCTGAAATATGAAGGACTTCTGTGTCAGCCTATTGAATTGATACTGCAAAGAATTGCATGGGCTCCTTATTACTACATGTAAGTCCCTCTTGTGCTGCCAGATGTTTATGTATACAATATCAAGATACTGATTTTTTTTTCAAAATATCTGGGTCTTCTTGCTGCTTTGCTGTGATTGAATCATATATTTACAGTTCAAACGTCTCATTTCATACTATGCTGTTGGAAAGCTAAAAACTACTTGGATTTGGAACCTTATTTTAGAAAGCATCCTTTTTATTTTAGATACAATAAAATCAAATATAAGCCGTGTTGGCAGTCACTAATATATCTAGTAACTTAATAGGAAAACACTGGTTACTATTAATTATACCAGAGAGTATATCTCTCAATGAGTCAATGATTTCATTGCTGTATGAACTTAATTTTTTTCTCTCTTCTTTGATGTAAAAGGAAATGTAGATTCTCTTTTAGAGCATACTGACTTCTGATAGAAGTTACTGGACCCAAACCTCAAGTCAGCTTCCCATTCAAAAACATGCAGCATTGTGAGTTATAGGTCGTAACACCAGGACCTTCGTTCCTTAAGCTGACTGTTCTCAAAGAGGGACAAAGAGCAGGAATGGTTAAAAGTAATCCTTCCTGAGGAAGAACATCTTAAAGAAACTCAGCTTTATTTACTTGTTAGGCATAAGTGGAACTTTAGAATCAATATTCTAAATAATTCATTATCAACTTTCTCCTACAGTCAGTTAAATCTTGCAGTAAATAGTTGCATTAAAACTGTACTGAGAATGAGGAGTAAAGGCGCTGCCCTCTTTCTAGAGTCCAAAAGCATTTCAAAATTTGTGTGCAATGCAGCTTAAAGTTGTTGGAAAATCAAAGTTCAGAACAGGAAACTCTTTGAGCAATTAATATGAGCAATTATTTTTTCCTTTACTGAATAATCTGGACAGAAGGATGGTTCAGCCTTATGTGCCATAGATAAATAAATTTCTACCATTTCTGTAAGGAGACCTTCCCAAGGGTAACTTTTTTCTTTCCTGAGTTGAGCAGGGCAATCTGTATTACACTGGTCTGTGTACCAGTGCCGCCTCTGCTGGAAAGAGCTTTTGGGAAGTAACCGTCTTACAGTCCCGATCTTATGCAGAAGTAACTTGTATTTGACAAAGCTATGTGTTTTCCATGTGGTCTGATTTCTGTTAGATAATGGAATTCAGAATCTGGTGCCCAAGTCACAATCTTAATTTCTTTGGCTTACCAAAGTTTTATCACTTAAGAACTAATAGTGTCTTGATCCATCACGTTGTTGTAAGAGCCTCTCCAAAAGCTAAAATGCATGGGCTGTGGCATTCTTGTATTTTCTCATTCTGTTGCTGGTGGGTACTCAGGAGGCCCCCACATCTTAGAAGCAAAGGATTGGTGAAGAAAATTGATGCCAGCTTTCAAGAGCAAGGAAGCTAATTCAGGGAACAATTTCATCCAAGGTTAATGGAAGAACAGACCTCCAACACAGTATCAATTGGATCAAGCTTAAAGCAATCAGTTATGCCCTAGTAGCTATAACTCCAGTCCTGGTCAGCCAGGCAGCACTTGGTGATGTTTTACAACACTTTCTCATTGGCTTTTATCAATAAGGAAGGAGAAACAAGTTTCTCAATTGCATTTCTAGAGTGATAGTCTCTGTGCCTAAATGAGGGAAAGAAAATCTTTTCAGAAACTACAAACAAAACAGTGCTTGAGGGTTCTGCTCCAGACAGTTAGTAGTGAAGAGAAATGAAGCATATAACATATGCATGTGTACAAATATCTGTGGAGGTTAGCTGAGTGTAGTGTGGTGTTTTTGTATCATTTGGCTGTGCACATGAAGGATCTTGTGACTGTCCTGAAGTGCATGCTGCACTTACATATTTTCTCCATATCTCTTTCTTTAGAACAGTCTGTATATTGTGGCTTACTTTAAAAAACAAACAAACAGACAAAAAATTTGAAGTCTCTGTTGAGGCATTTTGTGGATGTTCTCAATTACTGACGTTGATTCTCTAAACCTAAGATTTAGGCTACAGGTTTAGAATAGTAGTAAATGCCACTGCTGGCTCATAGAACTCATGAAACTATGGTGTATGTATCTGAGTCCTGCTAGATTTACTCTATACTGCTTTTTAATTTCTGTAATTAATAAAGACCAACTCAACCATTTAAAATGGTTTGATCCTGAAACACTTCTTCCACTTTTTTAATCTTATCCTTTAATTCAATACATACCATAAGTGTCTCATAATAGTAGGCCTGCAGAATATAAATCCCTTTCACTGAATCACCTATTTAAACAGCCGTAGATCCAGTAGTCCAAGCCATCTGACTGCATCTGAGCATCTAATGAGTAGAACTTATAAAACAGCCTAGTTTATTAAACATCCACGTGATGTCATATCATTCAAAGGGACGCTGCTGATAGAAGAAATATTTTCTTTGCTACACTTCCAAGTATAGTGAGAACATAACTGAGTGACTTTGACAGCAATTCCACTTTGAAGATGTCCATCTAATAATTGTGAAGTACACCTGCACTGTCACTGTATCTTTTCTGTTTGCACTTGATTCTTGGTCTGCATGCAGAACTTTCGTGTGTTCCTGGGCATTCTTTTGCCGGTAACAATCAGTTCCATCTTGGACCAAATCCAAATGTAATTCTGAGACCCGTGCATACTAGATTCTCTTACCAACAGACAGTGTAGAGGAGACAGCATCATGCAAAACACAACTTGGCTTGCACAGATGTTCTGTGCCATCATAGCAGGTTTATACCCTCATATCCTCCAGTGCATCCCTGGGCAATGTGCGAGGTGATGCAACACCAACCATAAACTGGAAATTTAAAAACATAGTTTTAGTGGGTTGTGACACGGTCATCACTTTGTGAGTCACTTTGAAGTGAACGAAATGGAACAAAAATAACCTCAGATTGTAAGTCTTTGTACCTGAGGGGATACAGTTACAGCACGTCCCTTGGAAATTTGGGTATGGTTATGCTGGCATGTGCTCAACCTGGTTAGAGACAGCGAGGCACCAGGAGAAGATGTTGGTGATGAGTTTTAACTCGGAGTTGGTACTGTTTGCAAGTGGTATGTGCTATGCTACTAATAAGAGAGAGTAATTGAAGTGTTGCATTCAATATGGTGATGCTAATAGGCAAACTAGGACACAGATTAGCATTCATTATTTCAGTAGCATAAGGGTATTAAAAAGTTTAATGATAGGGTTAATTTTTAAATTGCTTGTTGCTAACAGATTTCTAATTTTATTTCAACTTTTAAGCTATCTTAGCACACTGAGATCTAAAAAATGCATGTATTCTTTCAGGTCTGCCTGAATCTATTATTGCAGCAGCATGTGCCAGAAGTGGCCAGAGGGTTCTTCATGTTGATTCGTAAGTTACTTGAATAGTTTATCTTTTTAAGAGTTAAATTGGCTAAAAATCTGTCTGTGTCTTGGTCACTCTGTCCTTGTATCCTGTGCTCACCTGGCATTAAGAAATTTCTATTCTATTTTGGTGTGATTTCCATCAGTAAAGCTTGCAGTTTTTGCGTGTGATGTTAGTAATCTGTAACATACATGATATGGTCAAGGATGCTATTGGTAGCTTCTTTTCTCATGGGAATAGTTAAAGTTTAATGCCCTTCCTTATTATATACCCCATTGTGTGAGGATTTTAAACTGGGCCATTATTACTTGATGACTGATGTTTTACTGCTGCCTCCTTTGTATCAAGTTTCAATGCCTATAGAAGATAATACAAGTGTTTTGGCTTTTTAGTTGGTTATCGTGAAGTCTGGCTGATAAGGGATTCACAGAGCACTCTTTGTTTCTGTCTTCATCAGATACTGAATAAGTTTGAGTGCAGAACACTACTGTTCTTCTTTTACACTTTGAAATAAAAGGTTTTGCAGGAGCGCTTGGAGTAGTGCGTTCATAGCATCCTTTCATTTTACTACTTCTCTTTGCTAATTAGCCAAATATAGCAATTTTCTTACAAACTTTATAACTTTACACTATGATGTATGCTGCTTTTAAGGAAAAAAAGGTCTCTAAAGCCTAGTTTATTTGTACAACTGCTCAGCAAAATTGAGTGTCATGACTCAAGTCTAGAGCTTTGGTTTCTGAGGCACACATGAGACAAATTCTTGAGCTTCAGATAACCACACAAACCTTCAAGGCTCTGAATTTCTCATCTGACTTTTGGGACAATCTTGGTTACTACTGAGCAGCATTCAAGGCTGCTTTATTGTCTGTGCTTTTCTGGTTGATAACAAATGGAGTGTATTTAGTACGACTTTAATGCTAGGCACCCCTACTATGACTGATATAGTTCATTGTGGATTATCAGGGTATGATTTACATAGATTTTTTTTTTGGCAGCCTCATCTTAACTGCAGCTGTCTCCCACTCCCTTGCTGCTTTCAGTCCCGTCATTAGCGTGCTTACACAGTATAATTTCCTGAGTTTGGCTGCTGCAGTTGTGAGAAAGGGTTGTAAGCAGTAAGCAAGGACTACCTCAGTGGCTCTGCTGTTGCTAAATATCATCGTAGCCTAAAATGCATAATAAATTTATGAGGTTGAACAGATTTCTATACTTCGTCTCAATTGTAGTAAATATTTCTACACGTGACCAAATTGGATGATTTGGTAAAACTTGAAGTGGGGAAAAAAAAAAGAATTATGTGTAAGTGTAAAATCATAACTCCATTCATAACCAGTGGAGTTGAGTTACAGGCAGCCCATTATTTCTCCTGCTGGTAGGAGTTGAGTTTTAGTAGAATGCCAGGTGGAGGTTTTGAGGTTTTAACAGCAAAACTACTGTGAGCCTGGATGCTCTGATTGTTTGCACAGTGTTTTGTTTTTACATCATTCTTGAGGTCTTGCTTTCTTCTAAACTTCTTATTAATTGCACGTGTGCCCTCACCTTGGTTTAGAGTCTTTTTCACAAGGATAAGATATGTGCTTTCAGTTTTCCTTGCACTTCATACCAGGAGCTTAACAAGGATACGTTTTCTCCACTTCATTCTGATCTGTACTGGTTCAAAATTAAACTTCCGCAATGTCTTTTACCCACAGCCCTTCCAAGAACCTACCAGTTTTTCTTGTGTGTAGTATGAATTCATACTTAAGTTCAAAATTTGTGTGAAATGCAATTTGAGATTGCTTAGTTGACTGTTAACTGTCCTCAGTGTCTCTGGCTTCCTGTCTTGGCTGGAGTGAGGATAGGTGATGCACTTCATCCTAGCAAAAGTTATGTACAGATGAAGAACCTTTCAAAAAACTTAGAGAAGCTGGCAATTAGAACTGTGAATTATGGATTTTGTTTATTAATGTTTGGACTTAAATATGCTCGATTAGGTTCACCAATGCTTTTATTATGATAAAAAATGCTTCCTTTTTTTAAATTATTTCTCCTGTGGAGTTATTTTGCAACTCTTGTGCAGGCTACAAGCTCCTTGGGTCAGGAAAAGGTGTTCTTAAGTGAGGTGATTTTCACTCCAAAATAGCTGGCATTGTAATTGGTGGTGTGGTCACTGAATGGTGGTCAAAAATCCTGAAATTGGCCAAAGAAAAAAAAAAAAAGTGTTTGTGCCATGCAACCCCTCGTAAATGGGAAAGCATTTCATACCGTCTGCTTTTCTTGTTCAAGCATGATAGTGTTCTTGCAGAAGTACCAATGACAATAACAAATACGCACAAAAAAGCCTGATGCCCTTTGAATTTGAAGTGAAAAGTTGTATCTCTGGCAAACTTTCTAAGACTTCATCTGAATTAGAACATTTAAATTTTACTTTGTGTATGTCTAGTTCAGTAGGCTAATTTCCTGTTAAATTTTCAAATTTTATTTTACTGAGCTTATTGAAAGTTGATCAATAAAAATCTGTCTATATTCAGAATATCACTTTAGTGATCTGCGTTGTTCCTGTCTTGAAGGATCATCTGTTAAAATTGTTTTCAAAGCATAAGCAAATAAGTTGTTGGGTTACTGAATTACTTGTGTTAGATGTACTACTCCAATTAATTTCTGTCTTCTGTTTTCCACAGAGGTCTGAGTTACATTAGGTACAAGTCTAGAAAACATATATGGGTGAAGTCTTTGTTTATAATTTGTTTGCATTCATTATCATTTTATTGCTTTTAATCTCCAGCCATGTTTGTGTTTATCATAATATACTGGATAGGTGATTATGGTAGATAGTTTTGAAGTGGCTTATTATAAAATACTAAGTTCTAAGTTTGATTTATAAACACTGTCCAAGCATTGCTATCAACAGTAGCTAATCTTATTCAAAATAGTCACTTCACTGCAGTGTTGCCATAAATTCCTGTAGATGGATTTTAAACTAGAGGTAGCTTCTGCCAAGTGGTAATTGAAGGAGCTCTATTTCTCTGTGCCAGCTATCTGTCTCAATAAACGTAAAATCTGTGGTTCTTTTTAGAGAGCTACATTTACTGTAGATATTAATGAGCTGTTGACGTGTGAATTTTCAAGGATAGATATTAAATGATTTAGAGAAGTAATTTGCAATTTAAAATGTGGAGATCGGCACCTCGTTTAAACTCAAAGATGTTGAAGGAAGGCAGAGCAGACTAAAAGTTGATTACTTTAAGTGACTGTACCTCCCACACTAATAGTTCATATGCATAGGATATTCTCCTGCTGGTTCACTATGTTTTCTAATTTTGGTCCTTTGCTTATCATCTTCTTTTATGAATAAAATTATGTACTGGTTTCTTTACCGAGGATGAGATACTGGAGATGAGGTATGTTTAGCTACATGTTTTTAATTTGATTTTCAGCATCTATAACATAGTATTTTTAGATCATAAATGTGTTCTGTATGTCCTTCTTATCTTGTAGGCAGAGTTTAATTTGAAGACTGTCAAGATAGAGGATTTTAACTTCTCTCTTATTCTCAATTCTCTTTCGCATGTCTCTTTGCTTGTTGTGACCTCGTCTTTCTTATTTTTTTATCTTGGTTCAGTGTGGAGTACTTAAAAGTTCCTGGAGTCCGAAATTGTTTTATCTGAGTATTGAAAAGCTCAGATAAATATCTGTGCAGTTTCTTCCAATTCATACTATGTCTGTCTCAGGTTTTTTTTCATAACTTTTTAAAAATCTGTGACACAACCTTTGTTTCCATATAGTCTTCTTTTTGATCTCCTGTGAAGTGACACAGCTGTGTAAGTACAGCAAACAGGGAAAAAGTTGCTTCCAAACCGAATCACTTTGTTCCAAGAAAAACAGAAGAATATTTAACTTTCCAAAAAGAAACCTAGGCAAAAAAAATAACCAAAACAAAACAAAAAAAACCCCTTAATTCACCTATCTTTTAACCTTATCTGAAAAAGCAGTTTTTATGTTGTTTTGGAATATGAACTCGGGTATTACAGAATAAAACTGTCTCAGCTGGGTTGTGATGATTAGCCTTGCTATTTTTCTTATCTGAGGATGCAGCGTAATTGAGGTAGTACAACTGACTGCCACCATCACCCTTTGGTTGAGCTGGAGGATCTCAGGGACACTGAGTTTAACTGTTTCTCTTGGTATGAGAACTTTCCATGCTCCAGAACACATTTACTGTGACAGAATGGGAATTTGAAATCAAACTCTGTGTACTTAATAGATGGCACATGAAACTTTATGGGTTTGAAACAGAAGTCATTTTGTTTTGAGATCCTTAGAATCGATGTGGCAGTAACTTCTTTTGCAAAAGACAGCTACTCTGATGGCAAGAGACTTCCTTCTGAAAGATCAAATGCAAGGCAGACACAGCGGCAGCTCTTGAGACCAAGCATGAAGTGTCAGCAGCTCTTTTGTCGGGCATCACCACCTCTGACTGTTACACCACGGCTGTTAAGACACAGCTTTCAGAGAGGCAATCTTCTTACACAGGGGTTGTCTATGAAATACTCGAATAAAACATGAGTGAGAACAGAAATCATGCTTTCAAAAGTTTTCAGTTTCTAAAATTGCAATCTGTCTTCAGAAGGTAACACTTGGTATTGCTTCAGATTCCAGAAACGCTGACATGCTGGAAACAATTTGCAGTTTTACTGCTCTAGGCTGGGATTTACGAATTCTTTAAGAGTATTTGTGGGAAAAAAAAGTGATAATAACAAGGAAAAATGTCACAAACTAATATAGAAGAGAAAATCAAGCTTTTTTTTTTTTTTTAAGAGGAGAAACTGTACTTGGGTTGCATTTCTAAAACCTGACAAAAATACAGGTTGTGAATTCTGATGTTAACTGTAAAATCTAGATATTGGATTAGAAAAATCAGAACTATAAGCAGGTTATTTTAACTCATATGAAGCTCCTCTTAAAACAGGAGTTTTGAACAAATAGCATATAGGGAATAACTTCTGCTACGCAAAGAATCTGTTCTCTATCTACTTGACAGAAAAAATATTTTCTAACTAAACAGTTACTCCTTAAGAATGTGTGTTGGCACAACTACGTATTTCAGTGTTTCATGGCCTTATCAAGAGGATAATTCAATTATAATCATAAGAAATGGAAAATTGGTCTCTGTGGTCTGCCAGTGCACCTAGAGAAGAACTTCAGTGCTCAAGATGTCAGGATGGTGTTTTAGCTTTAATTAGGCTTTGATCTTGACCATTATTCAAATTAATTCCTTATTTTAGTCTGTATTCACTGTAATTATTACAAAAATATTTTATTACAAAGGTCTCCAAATTGTAATATAAATAAACTTTTTTCAAATTACTTCAAGAGTTTTACAAGAACTTTGCTCATTATCAAAATAATCACATCTTGTCTACCTTACTCTGTGATGTTTTATAGCAAAATTAAACAGTCCTGGTTAACCACGTAATACAGAGTGGAAGAATTAAAATGCTGGGGGGAAAACATCTGAAAGTTGGTGCTTTCAGTGGAGATTAATATTAGAGGTTGTGTAACATAACTTCGGAATGGTGCTCAGATCCCAGAAGACAGCTGTGATTCATTTGCCGTTTGAGAAAGACTGCACCATCCTCTCAAAACTGATTGAGCTTCAAAATGGAATTATGGGGTGCTGTGTTGAAAACATTGATTCACATCAGTGCTGGTTAAAATGGAAAGCAATTTCAAAGGAAAATCCACCTGATGAGCAGAGGAATATTTTCATCACAGATGACTGACAGCTCACAAACTTCTGTAACTTTCTACAAAAATAATATATTAATTTCTTTTACCGAAATGTTTTTGTTCTAATTACTATTGGATTTATATTGGTATAGTTTCAGGAAACCTAGTCCTAATTTTAGACAGGTGTTTTCTGCAATTCCTGTGATTGATGGCCTGGCTTGCACTGACAGCCAGATTGTATTCCATATTCAAGAAAACTTGCAGCTAAAGCAGCAGATTCCCTTAAAAATAAATCTTTGTGGCTGTGGTGTTTCGCAAGTCCCAGAAGTGGCAGATAATATATGGGGATTGATTTGGTGGAATCTTAAGAAGAAGCAAGACAATAACCTGTGCTGTTTGAGGAAAAAGCAACGGACAGTTGTCGTTCCATTTAACTGTTGGTTGCTTTTTCACAGACTAAAATCTAGCACAATCAGGTGTTTAGTAATAGACTTAATCTTTATCTCTTTATATTCAAAATGAATATAACGAATCAAAAGTACTTTTAAGCCTCTCCCATATCATTCATATAATGAATCAATTTGGAACTCCCTTTTATAAGTTATTGGAGTTCCTCGTTGATAACACCTACAGATGAAGTCATTCTTGGAATAACCAAATGTATGGATAAACAGTTTGAGTTTCCTTCAAATGTATACCGAATGCTCTGCAGTTCATAGCCTTAAACCATGTGGTTTTTTGTTTGAGCCACTTTAATTCAGTAAATGTTATATTTTGTTGTCTTTGCAAAAGATGTCCTGTTTATGTTCTTCGCTGTTGCCTTGCAGAAGCTGAAAGACTTTTTTAGGTCAGTTTCTAGTCAGGAACAATTAGGCACTGTTTAGCAGACATCTGTCTTTCATATGCTAAGTAAGCAACTTAGTACAGAGCATAGCTCTGGTACTGTAAGGGGCTGACATTCTTAATTAAGTCTTTGTCAGTACAGATAAGCCTTGTCAAAAATGTCCCCATCTGAAACAGTGGAAGCAACCACAAATTTAAGTTTTTACTTTATTCATAGTTATGCAATTCAAAAATTGAAGTAGTGATGATAATGTTTTAAGTTCATTGGATTTATCAGTCTTTGCATTGGTCTGTGAAACAAACATACCCTCCTTACAAAATCCTTCTTTTCAGTGTATGCAGCAGCATTAAGTATCCTTTCCAGAGGGCATTTTGGTACCCTTCACTCCCCTGAAGTGCCGGAATACAGTGCTAGAGAACAGAGTTAAATCCCAAAGCAGCTTTTTTTATTTTGCAAATACTATTGATTTTATCAAATGCAATTGGTACAGTTGCATTTTTTTCCTATGTAGGTTATTCAGTAGTTAGTATCTGATATGTGTGGTAACAAAATTCAGTTCATCTAGCTGATGTTTAGAAAAGTACTTAGAAAAATCAGAAAGGCAGGGAGCAGAGACGATCTTTGGTTAACAACAGTGCAGTTGATTTTCTTTTATTTAAATGGGTAAGCTAGTATTTTCAAGGCAGAAGGTGATAAATGTAAACTGAAAAGTAATCAAGAAGGTGCGAGTGTTTTCTATGAATCAGTTCCTTTGGCTCCACCTACAGCATATACAGCTTAATCGTGATTTTTGCCATAGCATCTCAACAGTCTGTAGTAAGCATAATCTGTTCTGTGAAATGTAGATAAACAATAGTGACTTTTCTGTTAGTTAGGATAATGGGTAACAGAGTTGTGAGTTTTACTATCTGTACCTGAGATGATTTTACTTAACCTTTCCTTGCACAGCTACCTTTATGTGTTAGAGACGGCACGCAGTGAAATGGTTAACTTTCAGCTCAGCTTCAGTCAGAAGCAAACTAGCTGTGTTTGTGTAACAAAGCTGGTGAGTCCTGCCCTTCCCAAAGCTATGTGTGGTACATATATTTGGAAAACCCTTGTTGCCTATTCTGAGAACTGAAGTTGAAACTTGCAGGTGTATTTATTTGGCTCCCCATTAAATAAAATGATTGTAGCGATGTACATACTTGAGTTAAAGGATCAGTGTTGGCTGAAGAAGCATAAACTATATTTTTCTTTTACTTACAGCAACCCATGTCCTTTCTCAGCATTATTCAACTTCCCTCTGAATAACTGGATATTGGGCAACAATTTATTTGGTCAGAGATGAATGAAAACTGAGATTGTACATCTGATTGAGAATTCTGAAATATTACACTAATGTTTATAACTGTAAAGTCTGTTTTGAATGTCTCAAAATTCAATTATTTTTTCATTGAGTCTGAAAAGACTGTATGATGTCCGTCCATCACGTTTCACCATTCTTTTATGTTTTTTTTTTTTTCAGGCGAAATTACTATGGTGGAAACTGGGCCAGTTTTAGTTTTTCAGGATTATTGTCCTGGATTAAAGAAAATCAGGTAAAAATTTCTCAAATGATTTTTAATCATTGTCGTTAAATTCCGGTTGTTGGCATAATTTATTACGAGGTATTATCACAATATTCATTCTCTTTGTGGAATGTTACAAATAAAATAGAATAAATAAATAAATAACAAATAAAATAAAATAGAGGCTATTTATTTAGAAGTCTGAGCATTTGGACTATATTGGCCAGTGACTAATCATATTATTTAATGAGGCATTATGAGCTTCTTGTTCTTTAGAAAATGGAACTTCTTCAGTTTGCTCTCGTAACTATTATGAAGCGCTAACTTCTGGCATATCAGTGGAGTTGCTCAGTCTCCAAATGGAATATTCTCAACATTCTGTTGTGTGTCTCAGAGATTGCTGTGTGGACAGATGAACATAATACCCAGATCATTGTATTTTCTAATATGGTCTCTGTTCGCTGACTTCTGTCTCAAGATTCGGAAATAACCCAACCGTGGGAAACTTGTCTTACAGTTGACTGTATTCAAATTTATATTAAATCTTTAGTAAAACTTGCATTTCTCTTAATGTTATTTTCAGATCCCTAGAGCTAGATGTAGCACAAATGTTACTCTGCTACAGTAACCAGCTCTAACTTGCTTAACTCCAAAAATCTGTATGGAGAAGGTATTAAAACAATTAAATAAAACAATTCTTTTATTCTTTTTTTTAAATATACAGAGGTACAACAGATTATTTGGGAATAGATTTATATAGATCAAGAACAACCAGCACAGTACAAAATGTAATTTCATAATTGTTCTTTGTAAGCAAAATACGGATATCAAGGATGAGTGTGAAGACTGGAGAAAATTGATCCTTGAGAATGAAGAAGTTATTTCTCTTAATAAGAAGGATAAAACTATTCAACATGTAGAAGCTTTCTGTTTTGGCGAGTAAGTATAAATATAGAAATACGTAATAATTTCATATGCTCACTGTTAAACTATTGTTTTGTGTTTCTGGCTTCAAGTACTTCACCACCCTACCATACTTCCAGTTGGTCTAAAAAAGTAACTGTGAACTCTACAATGTCCATGATCTGCTTGTACTTCTGTTGAAATCACGTGCACTGCCTTGAAACCAATTGGTCCTTCTTAAACTGCTTCATCTGAATCCAGTGTAATTTGTTGACCAACTTTCATCTAGTAATTTACATCTCAGTAAATGTTGCGTGTTTAATTCCTCATTTGTTATGATCTACCATCTATTGATTTTTTTCATTCTTAATTTGGTTAATAGGTTTTATTCTCCTACTAAATGTTAAACACATATGTTTGTAAAAAAGAGAGATCATGTAAGAACAGGAAATGCAAATGGACCATAGTACTGTAACTGTAAGATAGTTGACTGTGCTAAAATGCTACAGTGATATTTGTCCTTTGTCATTTTTTTAGATTCATTGTATTTAATCTGTTTAACAGTACTTAGCCACGATATTTTGTCAACAATTGCATGATCAGAGGCTTCTGGAAGTTCAACAGAAGTTAAAAAGCAAAAATGGCCCCAAATGTTTTGTATTTGAAGTAAGGTAACTCATCCCTTACTTTACCTATGACATGTAAAAAATACTTGCTCAGTTGGAAATACACATTTACTTTCAAGACTACTTATTGCAGAAGTACGTTGTGAATGGTATGCCATCTTAAAACTGAGGATGTAGCTTATCACAATCGTGTTATGTCATTTGAAATCTTAGGAAAGCAAGGAAGTAACTTTGTGAAGCAAAAATGTTGATCAGCGCATAACTGTAGTAATAACAAATGGTAATTGTGTGAGGTCTCAATTTTTGAATTTCTTTACATTCGTTATTTTTATTTCTTGGGTTTTGCTCTGAACTGAACGTTATTCTGAACTCTGGAAAGGTTCTCTGGGTGAACTATGCAAGTTTAACCCTGAGTCTTCTAGTAAACATCTTAGGTTGCTGAAGGAAGCACTGCCAAATAGGTACTCATATAAAAACATTTATGTATTTATTTAAATGTCACAAACAGTTTAACAAACAAAAACGGTATATAAATGCAGTTTCTGCAGTCTGAAGGTCACAGGCTCAGAATTTGTTTATTGCATGTTAATGGTTGCTAGACCTTTTCTGCAGGTAAAATGTTATGCTTATTTTAAAGCAGGTATCAATTGAGTATTGTAATTGTAATCCTACTGCCATAACAAATACTGTTCAGAATCAATATTAAATCATCTTTAAAGTTTCATACTTCCTTAATTTTGAAAGTGAATTTCCTAGGACGGTATTTTATTGACTGGTGGCTGGCTCAAAAATAAGTTCCTTAACAGTAAGATTTCACAATTTTTAGAAGTAAGTACTGAATACTTGAATCTTCCATTTTGTCCTGCATCTGCTTTTAAGCATTTACATTAGTCTGAAAGCAGCATGCTGTCTGTATCATCAGACAAAAAGCAACCAAACGCACAGAAACCAGCCCCCTACAAGAAAGAGCCATAAGTTTAATGAACCTAGCAAAGATAGCAAAGAAAAAGTTTTCCAGAATAACTTTAAACTTTCTGAGAGAATCAATTACTGTGTTTCAGACAACTTAAACATTCTGCCTAGATTCTGTTGTTTTTGCTTAACTTTTATAACTCCTATGAAGTAACCATTAAACATTTATTTTGAAAGAATAAACAGCTGGGTAGCAGTATAATATACACAGTGCAAATCTGAAATGAATGGCCTTAGAACAAAGTGCATCCATCAAAGGAAAAGAATACTGTGTCTACAGCAAGCGGTATTGAAAAAAGGCGAATGGCTGAAAAATAAATAGTGAACACCTGTGCTGAATAAATTAACCAGCTGGTTGGCAATTTTTCATTTGACCTATCTGAAGGGGTTGCTGTTGCAAGGCATTAATAAGACACATTCATTTTAAGATATCCCTTTGTTAGTACCATTAATTGATGAATGGTGGAAGATAATATTCTAAATTTACACAACAATTTGTCTGCAGATGTATTATTTTTTTTCTGAATTAGCAGAAGAATTGTCAGTACAAAAGTTCAACCTGAGTGATTTTTATGGACAGCTCTTACATTATTCAGGAATATTTGTTCCTATAGGAAGAATGTCATGAATTTAGATTATGTACAGGTTTTCGTTATAAAATGCATAGAGATGCAAATCATGTAGATTTATATATTTGTTTAGTGGGAATTGAATAGAGTTAAAATATGTAAATATACATTTCTGCTATACTGCTTTTCAGTGGTATTTAAAAAGAATGTATTGCAAATCCAAATTTTGATCTTTTAAAAGCAATAGGAGGATCTTTAAAATGAGAATTGGCTGGACTGTATATTAAGCGTGGGAGAAAGCAGAATCAAGAGTTGTTTCTTTTCTTTCTGTGTTATATAAAAATTTATGATGGATTAAATAAAAAATTCACTGTTACTGCATTTGCGTATCTTTGCAAACCTAATGTTCACAATTCTGAAAATAATATAAACAAACCCAAAGAGAACCCCACAATTGATCTTCATTTGTAGTTTTAGCAGAGAGTACTCTTTAAAGAGCACTTGACAGCTTTTTTGTCCCTTACATTTTAAAGTTATTTAATGTTTGCAGTATGAAGCAAAAGCAGATAAAAATGAATGTGCAGAAACAGATTTGTTTAATTAGTTCTTCCTTACACCCATTCCATTATTTCCCAGGGCAGTGTTTTACCCCACTCAGGAATGAGTGCTTCCTGGTGGCTGTACGCAAGCAGTGGCCCCAACTCTTACTTTCATCAGCCTGTAAAAGCTGCCTGAACTCATGTGAGATGAGCGAGTAACAGTATAAAGGAGAGAATTTGTCTTCCTTCCTTACTTGAACAGAATCTTTGCCTCCTCCTTCCCTCTTTAAGTCCACTGATGCACTAGCGAGCATTTTTATATGTGCTGAATAATTCCTTGCTGTTTGGTGAATATTAGGCATCCTGATAGTTACTGAAATTTCATGCTATACATGTGCAGGTCACCTTTAAAATCACAGTTTGTTAGTTTTCATCCAAAATTAAATTGTTTATTCAATGCATTAATGGCTTGTGGTGTAAAGATAAAAAAGATAATGTGAAATTATTGCTGAACTCTTTTCGCTTACAGTGATGCTGATTTGATTCATTTGATTGCTGACGAAGTTGCTGGAAATTTTTAACTTCAGCTTCAGTTCAAAATTCCGTGTTTCTTTACAGTAATGCGCAGGAAGTAGCCTCTGTTTATATAAAGAACTTCTGTTTTCTTCTGCAAGCTTGTTGGAGGTGGTGGTGTTGTTTTACATTGTATTTTTTAATTACAGAAAACCCAGTCAGAGTTTCATTACTCCATTTATTTTGTTTATGTAGGTATGTACTGGGTACAGCTATGAGAGTTTTGATTTTCGTGTGAAGTTCATTCTGCGCTTTGATTTTGTTAAATAAGGACACAAAAGTGTTCTATTTTGTCTTTCTCCAGTAAATGTACTCCTCTTGAGTCAGCCTAAGAGCCAGATTTCATTAGTGGATAATACACCTGATTTGGCCAGGATAAAGAAATTCTAATGCTTTTTAAGAAGGAGGTTGAGGTTTCCGTTCCTGGCACAGGCTCAAAACTTTAAACAAGATTTAAAGACTCTTGAAGTTTTGTGGTTTTTTTCTCTTCTTCCCCTTGTGTTTTTATTCAGTCAGGATGCAGCTGAAGATGTTGAAGAAGCTGGTGCACTAGCACGGGTGCCTGCCTTTGGAACCTCTGTTGCTGAGGAGGTTGCTGAAGAACCGGAAAAAGAATGCTCACCACTGGAGAGCTCCGTTCCTGGAGCTGAGAACTGGGAATCAGATAAAGCTACGAGCACGGATCCACCAAATGCAGCAGAAGGGAGCGTTACAGAAGTAAACTCTGAGAATGAAAGTTCTCATAGTACAGCGTCTGGCGAATCCACTCTGGAATTGGGAAAAAGTGAAGCTGCACTCTCAGAAGTTTCTGCCCAGGAACCAAAGAAAATCACATATTCCCAAATTGTTAGAGAAGGCAGAAGATTTAATATTGATTTAGTTTCTAAGGTAGGAACTTAGTATCTCTTCATACAGCTGCATTTACTTTGTTTAATATGCGGAAATTTAAAAAATACATACATTTCATTTTTAAGAAGGCTGTTACAGTACTTTGAGGCAGAAAATACGTTCTCTTGACAAATAAGAAAGTATTAGTACTAATAAAACAAAGAGGAGCTATTTAATAAGGTTTTTTTACTGTTTGTTTATAATAAAAAAAGCCGTAAAGCATAGCTTAGAAATCTGTAAAAATAAATCTCTTGAAATTTTTCATTCAACTAAAATTGTGCTACTTACATACAAAGATCTAAAAAAAAGAAAGAAAAAGGAAAAAAAAAAAAAGGAAGAAACAGAAAAGTCTCATCTAAAGGAAGACCCCTCTTTTCCCTCTTTTTAAAATGAAAATAGTTTTTCTGTTTGGGGGGTGTCTCCTCATTTTTAGTGAGACTTTTCCGTGAAACTCTCATATTTTCTGTCCCTCTCTCATTGTGTGTTTTAGTTTTCTGGCACCTGAACTGCTGAATTGCAACTAATTTTATTGGAAAGTGAAAATACCTAATCTGTAACATAAAAACCTGAGTAAAATTAGTTATTCCTGCTACTGTGCCTTTTACTAGAAGACACAGTATTCTGTCATATTTGTCGTAATCTTCAATCTCCTAAAATCTGCCTTTTGGCTACTGTTCAGTATAAGTCCCTGCAAATCCAAGGTAAATGGCATTTTTTTGTAACTTCTGTTATTTATGTGCTATTTGGTGGGCAGGTTTTGTATTTAATTCGTTAAATATTATTTTGCAGCTACTAAATCTTGATATTCTTTTATTCAGATTTTACTTTATTGTGTGTGCTTGTAAATAGTTACAGAAAATATCTTACATATAATAACTATTGGTGTCACTATTTTTTTTTCTTTGGTGTAAGCATTTTCTCTTTACTCATTATATTATTTTTCTTCACTGTGCAGCTGCTTTACTCCCGAGGTCTATTAATTGAACTTCTGATCAAGTCAAACGTTAGCAGATATGCAGAGTTCAAAAATGCAACACGAATTCTTGCCTTTCGAGAAGGAAAAGTAGAACAGGTATCTTAGAATTATGTACTGTCTGTGTTTAACCTCATATTTTTAAAGTAAAAAAAACCAAACAGACTTTCTGAAGTTACATGAGAGTTTTGTAACAATAAGCTAGTATTTTCCCTCAAAAAAAGGAAAGGGTTTTTATTTCTTTTTAAAAACAAAAAAAAAAATTTGTAAATGATATATCCAAATATTAAAACACAGCACGAAAAACCTAAAACTAATTAAACTAAGACTGGATATGCATGTGCATACCAGTAAGTTACTGTTGTAAATCTTTGCCTCATATATGTTGTCAAATATTTAGACCATGATTGACTCAGCAGTCACTTCTTAAAGACTCGCAGGTCTTAGCTTTTCAGTTCCCTGGCATAGGCTTCAGGAGGAGTCATTGGTCTGATAACGGTAAGAGGAGATGTTTGGCATAGTTAATTAATGAAAGCTCTTTTCATTAACTCTGCAGTCAGAGATGCAAGTTAAATTGATGAAAAATAAAGGAGAAAGAGAGGAAGAAAAGGTTTTAGTGTATTTTTGCAGAAAATAAGTAACTTTTCTTGTTGTAGTGTTTAGAAATAATTGAAATATGTAGTAAATATGTGTAATAGAAGACAACTGATCATCTAACAAAAATTTCAATTTCCTATGGTGTTCCATAGTTTTCCTACCTGGAGTATTAAAAGTATCTGGAATTGTTAAAAAAATACGTATTTTTCAGGTGCCTTGTTCTAGAGCAGATGTCTTCAACAGCAGGCAGCTTGCGATGGTGGAAAAACGAATGCTAATGAAATTTTTGACATTTTGTTTGGAGTATGAACAGCACCCTGATGAATACCAAGGTAGTGTTTCAATCAGCAGTGTACACCCTTGTCTTGTGAGTTCGTTCATTCAGGCAAAATTCTGATAGCTCTCCTGTGTTCTCATTCTACTTATTTTTATAGATTCATTTTCAAAGTATACTTTGAACTTTTCACTATAATGTTAAATTCTTCTGCTTGTATACTTGTTCTTCTGTTTCCCTCAACATAATTTATTATTTACATTTTTCTTTAACAAATTTTATATTGCAGTATGTTCTCAAGATGTTTTATACATTTTTTTTTAATGTTGTTTTTGTTTTTTTTTTTTCCTCTCAGGGATTTTTTGATATGGTGTGAGGTATCTGATATTTCTTCTCTGCTTCTTTGGATAGGATACAAGTCTTACTTGACAGTATGTTGCCACAATATCAGAAATGGAGAAAATAGAGTTTTTAATTTAGGATATAAATGTAATTTAATACCTGACAGGGCAAGTTCAGAGTGTTTCTATTAATTTTTGGCTTGTCTGAGGAGAGAATATATTTAAGATGTGTTGTCACAAATATATTGAGTATGAGGTCAAAGAGGAAAGTGGCTAACAGAAGGAGTGTAATGGGCACCTACTCTCTACTTTATACACTTGAGAATACTAAGAATTAGGTGGTGTTGCACTCTGTCCTTAGAGTCAGAATATAAACTCAGGCCAAAAATAAAAAAAAATGAGGACAGGAATAGTTAAACTGTTAATGTAAGTTTCAGGCTGATCCAAGTTAGCGCTTGTGTAGCATGATCATAGATCCATTAAGCAATGTTTTGAAAGAAGGTAGCTTTAGGAACAGTTCTAAAAATCACTTGTGTTAGTTTGGTTGCTTAGAGCTGTGTGTGACACTTGGATTAGGGACAAACATCAGAGAAAGTTCAACTGTACACAGGACAAAATTGGTCAATATAGAGAATCATCTGGCAAGATTAGAGAAGCAATCTGTAGGGGGAATAGCTCATTAAACCCAGGTGGTTTGTAGATTACAGGTAACTTCTATTTTTTTGCTGATGGAAGAAGAAGAGGTACATAGAGTAATGGTACAGGTGGTATTGAGAAAATCTGTTAGGTAAAAAAAAAAAAAAAATTTAAACCCTGCATCAGTTTTAAATTAATTCTTTGATTTATGTGTCTAAACTACATGAGATTTATTTTACTTCCAAAGATAGTTCACAGCATTTTGCTCTTGTACTTTAAAGTAGCCTGAGAAGTAAATGGAAGTATTTTGAAGCAGGTTAGTATAATGTAGGGACTTCAGAACTTTAAAGTTGCTCCTCGTGAACTGATTACTTCCATTGCAAGTCGTGTGACTTTCTATAGGAAGAGTTCATTGTGGTTAAATTAAAAAAAAAAAAAAAAAAAAAAAAAAAGCAAACCAAAGAAACATTTGTGTCAATCAGTTACTTCCATGGCTGTATGTCAGGCAGTAAGTTGTGTTTGTAGGCTGAGTCTTAAGCAGGATAAGTGGCTTGATAATACTAGGCACAGCATTGCTGGTAGTTCTGCTTATTCCTGTGAATTTTCACATAATTGAAATGAGCTTAAGAACAAATCTGTGAATGGTATTGAAATATTTTCCTGAAAAAGTATGGGATTTTATTAAGGTAACTGATATTTTTAGAGGTGTATAAAGAAGAAATGCTTCCATTCACTATCTCCTAAAAGACTTGTATTTCTTTGGAGTGAAAGTGTCAGCAATAGTACTAATTTAAAGGGGAAGTTCCTCATCACTGACTTCTGCTTTTTTTTGTGCAAGTGAACTAAAAAAATTATTTGAATGGCCCTTCTCTGCTTATATTTACAATCTAATAACTAAATCAATCTGGATTCAACTGTATGAGCGTCTTTCAGGTGATCACAGTAATCTGCCACCCTCAGGCACTTCAAAACCAATGGATTTATGTGCCCAGTTTCTCACATTTCTCACAACTTAGAAATATATTTAGATGAAGATAGCATAATAAACAGAGGGAGCCATATTTAGATGTTGCTCTTTAAGGTGTTCGTCTTATGCAGTGGATTTGTGTTATTCTGAAATATTTTAGTAGAGTGTTATTTCTTTCTTCTGAGAGTTTTCTTTATGGAAGTTACATTATCCATTTTGTTCAATGTTTATTGAACTCATTTCCTTTTATAATTATCTTTGTGTATTTTAATATAGTTCAGCCTGAAGAAAAATGTTTCTGTGAGAAAGTACAGGCGTTGTGCTGTGCCCTTTACTTGAATTTACCTTTTTTTCTCAGACTACAAGAACAGTACATTTGCCCAGTTCTTAAAAACACGAAAGCTAACACCTAGCTTGCAGCACTTCATTCTTCATTCTATCGCAATGGTGTCGGAAAATGATTGCAACACTCTTGAAGGTCTTCAGGCAACAAGAAAGTTTCTTCAGTGCCTTGGCCGCTATGGCAACACACCATTTTTGTTTCCTCTGTATGGTCAAGGAGAGATTCCACAGTGTTTTTGCAGGTAGGCCTTAAGTTTTTTTTTTTTAACACACATCTTCAAAACAGGAAATACTTGGTAACCTTATGCTGATAGAAGTCATTCAATAGAAGACATCTCACTAACAATTTCATGTTGATTTTGTTGACTTTGAGTTTTCATTCGCTGTGGAAAGTCTCAAAAAAAAGTCACAAAGTGACAAGTCTCAAAAAAAAAAACAAACATATTTTAGTTACAGTAATAATAATTACAGGATAGTCAAGCACTCAGCTGATGAGATCAGGAAACTAGATTTTGAGGAGTATTTCATTGAGAGAAGCAGGAATGCTGTAAGTTATGCCATTTTAATACATGTATAAGATGAAAACTGTTCCTAAGTTGTAATGGGTGACGTTTGCAGTCAATGACTGCATTTAATAATAAGGGCTAGGAAGTGGAAAAGAGTTTATTTAAGTTACACTTGACTGTACCTTTTTAAAACTGACAGTTGAAACTTAATAGTGATGTCTGTCTGAGATGACGGTGCTTTTTGGTAGGTTGTGAAAATTTACCTTCCGTCTAACTGAAGTTACAAGGTGATGTATGTCATGAATTTGTGTTACTAACTAGCACTAGAAGTGCACCTAGAGTTTCTTTTGTCCTTCTGTCCTTTTATTCTTTTTGGTATTTAATAGTGAATGGGTTTGTTGGTTGGTTTGGTTGTTTTTTGTTTGTTTTTTTTTTTTTGGAAAGGAAGAAAGTACTATTATATATTCAGTTTATTAGTAAACAAAATATTATGCAGTTCTTTCACCCTTATATCACAGTTACACACATGGGACAACCAGTGTGATATCATATCCTTATTCTCTTGGCATAATTTTGTCTGTTTGCTTGACAAATGTCTTCATACAACTTCAGCAGCATATAAAGGAATCGTAAAGCCCTGTTACTGAGACACACCAGATGCAGTTTTACATCTTGCACAAGTGACACGTGTTCTCCGCTACTTGAGCCTCAGAAAGTAATGAAACCAAAGCTATATTGATGTCAAAATAAATCTGTATCCACTTTGGCCTTTTCAGTTGAACTGTGGGCGTGATGTGTGTTCTTTAGTGTGACTCTGGTCGTGTGCTCAGGATTGTAAATTTTGCAGAGGAGCTGTTGACTGGTGCTTTGGGTGACCATCAAGAATAGAAGTGACTGGTTGGTTTTAATTTTCACTGCTTTCCAACAATTCTCAGCTGTTTTTATTTTTGCTTACAAACAGCCCTTATATCTGCTGTACATGGGTTCTTAGTGTAGACAATCTAAAGTGATTTTGTACTATGTATTCAGATATCATTTGTTTAAATACCAGTGCAAAGTTTTACCTACTTAGTTGTTTGTTGGACAAATCCTGCTTCTTCTGTGTGTGCTACAATTATGAAATTTTGTTTTAGAGCTTGCTGTTGATTGTTAACATTCCTTTCTTGTCTGCACGATAGATTTTCTTCTCAGTAGCAGTACGTAAGCTACAGTTAAAAGACTGGCCTTGTCAGTTGGAGCTTCCGTATTAGTATGTAGGATGGGTGTAACTACATGTTGATAGAAATATTCTAGAAAAATTATTGTACTTCAGGGAGGGTGTCTAAAAAGTAGCTGATTGCAACAGCAACGGGTGTTACTTGGTCTTACTTGGCTGTGTGAAATTGTCCTCTAATGTTTTGGTATTCGTCTTTTTAAATTGCAATTAGTTCACCAGGCTATTAAGAATTGTTCTGTACTGTATTAAATGGAAATTTCATTTGGTAAATTTTTCCAATAACTTTTCATCTGCATGGGAGATTATATAATTAAGCACACAGAATTAGTGAGCAGGATTTTTAATGTATTTGTTCAAATTTCTGATAAGAATTCTGGACATAATCATGTTATAGAATCAGTGTTTATGGATGTTAGGGATGTTTTTCTGTCTTACCAGGATGTTGTGTTACCAGACACGAGTACATGACCAATAGATGAAAAGTCAAAAGGAGCCATTACAGAAGCACAAGTCTTATATTAGTCTCCTTAGACTTTCTTGGATATCAAATACCTGGAAAAAAAATTACTGAAGTTCAACTTAGATTTCTTACTATTTTTTTTTCTTGCAGACTTAAAAGCCCTTCGGCTTCATTTGGCTTAATAGTCAGCACAGGCAATTTTCTGATCTGCAGAGCAATATACTTCAAGAATTAGAAACAGTGGTGTCTAGAGGTTGTATGAGTTTTCTTATTGGAAAGCTCTTTGACAATCACAGGAAATCTTCAGCTAGGTTGAACTTCATAGCATTGTTTGCACCACTTCAGTTTGGTTTGGTTTTGCTGAATTGCAAGTCTTATCAATATGATAAGGAGAGTATGTGAATTGTTTCTCGTAAACCAAGAGATAATTGTGGCTTTAAAAGATTTGTATAAAGATTTTATAAGCCGTTTAGGTAAAAAATTAGGAAGTTTGGAATGGCTTTACAGCTTAGAAGGCAGGCACAGTAAATATATATTTTTAATTAATCCCAATTAATATATCTGGTCTGCCTGGGGTATTTTATCTTTTTAAAACTGAGAGGTATCGGAGGAATGCTATTCAAACTGTAAAGTAGTAATGCCACAACCTATACATCATATCCTGCAGTTTTTATCACCGGGTTATCAGAGTAAGGTGTCACCTGTTCTGTGATTTCTAACCGCTGTTCTATATTCTGTTTTAATGTAAACCTCTTAAGCGTTTCTTGCAGCCAGTTACACTGTGTGTTCTCATCAAGGCTACTGTTATAAATGGCATGCATGCATATTTATGTGAATGAGTCAAAGACATTTGTAAGTCACATCCCTGCATTCCAAATGAATTCTGCATAAACAGTACAACATTTCATAACTACTGATGACATTTGAGTGAGTAAAAGTGGTGTTAGTTCTTTATTGGTTTAAACAGGTATGGTTTAGGAGAGAAAATTCAACTTTTATATCACTGTAATGTACCTCCCAATATGTCGAGGTGCAGATGTGAGATTTCTGTCTCTATAAATTGAATCTGTGGTATAAGTAAGGTCATTGGAAGCCTCCTGCTATTCCAGGCTAACAAGAAGCAAAACTTTGCTAGCTTGAATACCAACTGCCCTTGGTTAAAACTTGTAAGTATGAAACCATTATCTTCCTTCTTTTCTGATGAGGTAGTATGCATTATGCTTGGTGAAAATAAATTAATGAAAAAATAACCTACAATTTGAGGAAGATCATACTGAACCTTTAGATTTGTTACAGTTAGCATAAGACGCCAAAACTTCACTGAAATATGTGCGAGGCAGGTGGAGGAATCGGCTTGTTTTGTGGTCTGCTGTGCTGACATGTTTGTTGCAATTCTGTAACAACTTTAATTTTCCTGAAAACATATCTCTGAAGAAAGATGACAACTGAGCATTGCTGTAAGCTCAAAGGCCTCAGTAATGCAGCATTTGTATTGCATGGGGTGATTGTGTTGTTTTTATATACTTCTAGAAATGACTTTCAGAAATGCCCCAAACATTTCCTAATGAAGGAGTAAATCTGAAAAAATGGTCAACTTCGGATTTTTCCTTTGTAGCTGAGAGACAAGTAAGATATTTAGGTTAAAAATAAATCAATCTAAAGTAACTGCCAGATACGAGGCTATTTATTTTGAGCTGTGACCTCGCTTCTGTGATTTTTTCCATGTGCTTGCTTTGTGAACAACTTGAATTCTGATCAAGTCTTTGAGTTTTTCTTCAACTTGTTTTCAGATTCTTTTTTTTCCTGGTCCGTGCAAACGTGAGCATCCAAATGGAAACTGGCCTTTCTAAGTAGTGGTGCATTTTTTTTTCCCCAGTTAAAATTTTGGAGAGAACTAGAGACTGTTCATACACCATCTGTTTGCATGTGAAAGATTTGGAGGGGTGATACACGCTGCTTTAATTTTCTTTTTTTGTTAATAGTCATCCAAGAAATGACAAATGTGGTCCTGGTAATAGGGGATCTTCTGCTGCTTTGCCATGGGAACTAATGATCCACTGACTTGTATGGGTAATCAATTAATGTCTTGCATTTCCTATAGAAAGGCTCTGAACTTCTACTTTTTAATTGTGTATTCATTTTGTGGGTAATATCACTTTTTTTTAAAATAGTTGTTAGAGATTCTAGCCTAAATTAGTCATTTTGTGTCAGAGCCAGTGACTGATAATTTTGTGATAAAGATTTGATGAAGATGGTTCTCCATTTTAATCCCTGAGTTTATGAGATGACTGAGTCCAGGCTAAGATACAATGGGTTATGCAATTGATTTGGGAAGTTCTTATATGTATTTCGAAAATGAATAATCAGTTTTTACCCTTACATTTGAGCCATTATCTGCTGCAAATATTGAAGCTTCTAGGGTTGCTTTAGGTATTTAGTATTTTCAATTATGTGCATGTTAAGATCTTCAGGAAGCTTTTGGTAATGTAAAATTAAAGCCGGATCTTAGGAAACCTGAATATAATATGCATTTAAAATTGATGTATTTAAAAATTCATAATAACATCTCTTTCATTTGAAGCTATAAATAAGTATCAAGTCTTTACATGTAAGCAATATGCATAACTTTTCTGTATTAAAAGATTTGCCTTATTATTAAATTTAAACAGTGTTGTTACTTCCTTTTGACAATTGCATGACAAATTTGACTCTTAGGAAGTCTGCAGTTCTGTGCTAGTAGGAAAGCATCTCAGCTGACTTTAAAAGCATAGGCTGTATCTGAGAGAGAAGTTATAATTTCAAAATAAATCATGTTCATATTTATATATCCATTATCACTTAAGATAATTCACTTCAGACCAGAAAATTTGCTTTAGAATTAGTGACCATTTGCCATCATTGCTTGGTCTTAATCAAAATGCCAACTAGTAAGAGAAGCTGCTGTGCTGCTTTCTTTGTAATTACTACATTTTTACTTGCAGTTCAGTGATATAATAAAACTCCTGATGCAGTTTGGCTTTTAAAGACAAACTTGATATATTTCTTTTCAGTTTGTTCATA